TGTCCACACACCCGCGCCCACACACAGACAGACAGACACACACACACACACACGCACAGACAGACACAGACACACACACACACACACACACACACACACACACAGACACACACACACACACGCAGAGAAGCATGCACGCATTAATGATGCCTGCATGCATATGCTCCTTCACCAGTGCGGTGTTCAGTGTTGCCTGAACCAGCGAACTACCAGATTGACTAGTTCCAGTTGTTCGTGAAATGACTGGGCCAATCAGCGAGGGAATGAACGAACTCGCAGGCGACGAGACCAAGTGGGGGTTAGAGAGCTGTGTCTCGACAACTTCATGAGCAACTCTCTGTAAAGCAAGGTAGGGTCGGCAGCATCCGCATGCTCATCATCCTGGATCCTCTTCCTCCTCTTCCTCCTCATCATCTCCACCGCCGACACCAGTGCCATGCTGCTCACGGTGGTTCATCACCTTCATTGATTGCATCTCTGTTTCCACGTTCTTTCGTGCTCGTCACTCTAAGCATCTTTGTCAGCGGCGTCATCATCGTGAGCGGCATGGACGGTGGTGCTCAGTCTCCTTGTCTAAGACAAAGACAAGTTTCTTCTGCCTGGTGCAGGAATGTTTGGAGGGTCTTCTCTACAGGCGCGTGAAGCCGCTAAGCGGTGAACTGTCTCGTGCCTCCTTGCTTGAGGTACCACGCACATCGGTGGAATGTGGACGATCTCATGGGGGCCGCCTTACCACACCATGCCTCTGTCCTAGTTCTTCGCTGAAAGGCTCTCTGGTTCATGAGGGCAGAGACACACCGAGGACTCCCCCCTCTTCACAAAGCTTCTGCAGGCCGTCAAGAGCCTTTTTCTTGTCACGAATAGATCCCCTTGTGAAGGCCGGTAGGAGCAGCCCAGGACCTTCATCAGAGGAAGGCGTTTAAACGCCCTGGCTTCCCTAGCTCCGTAAGACTTGGGGGGGTGGTGATGATTTTGGTGGCAGGCTCTTGCGAGCTGGGGCAACCCTGAAACCGTGCAGTTCAACAGCAAGCCTAATATAAAGCACCACAAAACAGGATCCCCGTAAAACTCACCGAAAAAGGAACCCGAAAAAAACGCTGAGCCAGGGACTGCATGTCGAGGGCAAACCGCTCTGGTCCTGGCTGGCGACCTTGAAGGCCGGGGGGGCCCTAAAACAAGCAGAGAGCGTGCTTCAATGATGGTTTATAAAAGGGTTTAGGGCTTTTGGGTTTCGGGGTTTCAGAGGGTGTTTGAATGATGGTTTATAAGTCTATTTTATAAGGGTTTGAAGCTCGCCGGGTTTGAGGGTTTTCAGGCGTCTCAGGCGTTTTGGGGGCCCGGAGGGCTTTGAAGTATGAGGGGTGCAGGGTTCAAGGCTTGAGCGTGTTTAGGCCTTGAGTCCTTGAGGGTAATCTACCTTAACCTACCAAAACCTACTTTTTGGTAGGGTCCCCATAAATTCCAGATTAGGGTTTAGAATCATGCAGAGCCTATTAAAAAAAGTAGGTTTTGGTAGGTGAAGGTATATAAGTCTTACTTTCAAACGCCCGGGTCCGCTCTCGGAGGCCAAGCCGGCGGCGCTGCTGCGGTCCGCCTTGGCCAAGTACTGCGCGAAGGAGCCTGGAAAAAAAGCTCCTCTCTTCCGGTCAGGGTTTAGGGTTTTCGGGTTTAGGGGTCAGGTTTGTGATGATACAAGCGGCAGATAAGTATATCATGATAATCGCGAATCATACATACAGCCTTTTGGAAGAGACCGATCAAATTATTACGACTGATCGTGCGGATGATGGTCGTAAGACTTTCAGGATCTCGGGTTGCCTGCCGGACTGAGTGCCTCGGAGGACATCGCCGTGCTGATTTTTGTCGGGAAGGTGATGGAGGCTTGCAGAAAGAGGGACAGCAATCGAGTCGTTTTGGTCCCCACGCTGCCAGGAGAATCTGAAGCTTCAGAAGCCCAATCGTGCTTTGATGACTTTCTACGCGGCGCTCTGGCTGGACACGCTGGCGCTCCAAGGGTCCGGGGTTCCCAGTACTCAGAAGAACAAAGCTGGCAAAAGCAAAAGCTGACATATGGCATATGGTCCACGGCCTCCTTTTGAGGTCGCTGGCGCAGGAGCTGGTTCAGGCCATTTTGGTGCATTGGAGCCTTGGAGCTGGGGAGTGCTGTGCCCTATAAGCCCAAGGCCCTCTTGCCCACCCTGATGCTGATGCTCCGGCGGCCGCTGCCCAAGGACGCCTTCCACGCCGCCGGGCCCCCAAAACAGAAGGGGGGAATACGGGCCCCGCCCCCCCCCCTCCCCCCCCCGGTAAGGTTCCATAAGAAGGGGTCGGCGGTATAGGCCCAAGCTTCCTAAACAAAAAGCTGCTCCCTTGCTCCGAGGGCCTCACCATCGCGGGAGCGCTCTGCACCAAGGTGGAGCTGGAGGCAGAGGGTTTAGGGGTCCAGGGTCTAGGATTTAGGGTTTAGGGGTTTCGGGGTTTAGGGTTTAAGATGGCGATAGCCCGGTAGAGAGCAGACGTGCTTTGTCAGCGGAGTGGCGCCCAACAGCCAAGGCCAGCGTGCAGAGCAAAATCATCCACTTCGCCGCCCGACAGGCCCGCTTTTGAAACCCGGCAGCGATGCCTTCCTCCTCCGTCTTCGTTCTATTTGTTGTCTCACAAGATGAAGCTTGTCAGAGGCGAAGGGAGCGGAGGGCCAGCCGGCAACGGCGCTGATGGCGGCCGTCCTGCAGCTGCAGGCAGCGGCCCAGTGCGCCCTTTGTTTGCAGAAGCCTCTTCACTGCCGTGGCTTTGGGGGAGGCAGTGCAGAGCGTCGACAACGGGGCGGTGAAGGCTTTGGCCAAGCACGGCCCCGAGGCGAAAAACCCAAGAAACCCTGTCAGAAACAACCCTTTTTCCACAAAAACACGGGGGACTCCCAAAAGGGCCCCGCTTGGCAGGAGCTGCTGGAAGCTTTGCCGCTTGGGGTGGACTGCGGGAACCTGCTGGCCAGTGTGGTGAAGGCTAGAGGGCTCAAGTGGATGGTTTCAGGGTCTCCGAGGGGTTTAGAGTTATCGGGGTGTGGGATTTGTGAGTGGCTTCAGGGTTTAGACTTGAGGGTGCAGGCGATTTACGTTTCTGTTGCTCGTTGTGTCCTTCGTTCGCCGATGGCCGCACAGTGCCCCGCGAACTATTGTGGCTTTCACGCAGCCCTGAAACCCAAACAAAGCCTGCCAGAAGCTCTTATTTCTATTTCCCCGATAACTTGTCATCGAGAAGCTTGTAGCTTATGACTCAGGGTTCTTACTTGCAAAGGTATGTAAATATTCCTTCGCGAGAGTTCCGCGATGGTGGCGCGAAAGCTACCCTTTCTATTCGTGAAGAAGGTCATTCGGGGATGAAGGAATTTCGATCAACAACCATGTGTCTCCAAGAAAAACAAAGAGAGAATCTGAACGCCGAAGCTCGACATTGACACAGAGCATGCGTAATTGTGTGCGCATGTACTCTGCTGAAATGTCTAGCGCAAGTACTTGCCCTCGGTTTTTCGGCACACTGTCGAATATACGTGCTGCTCGGAAGCGGGAAGTCAAAGATGAAGTAGGGCTGGCTTTGGGTGCCATTTCGGCAAATAGCAACGAGCCTCGCCTGTCTTTCCTCACCCGATTTCTCGTCACTATTGTGTGATGCGGCATTCTCTGCAGCATGTTATCGGCTTTTGCAACAGGACGGTCCAAGTAACCTACCAAGCCTGCATGGGTGTTTCTGCAGCGATTCTCGACTTGTCGTCACCTGTTGTCACTATCATGCAGTGATAGCCGACAAAGTTGACGATGCCTTGAGCCCCTATTCACCAGCCAGACTGTGTCACACGGACAGGCCGGCCTGGGCCAACTTGCAGACCCAAACGAAGCCAGCGAGGAAATAGAGGCCGGCATTGATTCCGGCTTCTGAAGATGACAACTTGTCTTGCCGATCTGATTTGTCAGACTTGTCAGAGGTGATGCCGGGTTGCAACAACCCTGGAGTTACGATCCGAGCTTCCCCGACCTTCCTGTGATCTATAGGATAACTCTTCTTAAACCCTAAACCCTAAACCCTGTGTGCTTAAAAGAACCGTGTCTCTGCCCAACAGGCCTTGATCCTCGGCCTCCTCCGGGATGCTCCGACGCTGCGGCGCTACGCCGCGCCGCTGAGCGCTGCGGTGCTCCAGGCGGGGTTTGGGGTTTAGGGTTTGGGGGGTAGGGTTTAGGGTTTAGGGTGTATCCTCTATATTCAAGGCTTCTGAAGGCTTCTCCCTGGCTCTCTCTGTGGCAAGTCTATCTCTGTATCCTTCAAAGAATGTAAGGGGTACCGGAAGATGACTGGGCCCCTGCTGAGGCTTTCGTCTCCGCGATCGCGGGCAAGAGCTCTGCGAAGGAGCGGAAGCGCCTCACCAAGCTGTACCAGGCCGGTCTGCATTTCAGGGCGACTGCGCTCGAAGGCTCCAAAAGGCCAGGGGAACCTGGGCACTTCAGGAGCCAGTGCAGCTCCTCAGCGGCACGGTCCCTGCCGCGCTGGCCGAGGCCTTGAGTCGTTGTTTGGAAAGAGAGCCGCGGCCGCGGCTTTCGTCTTTTTGTGGAGAGGCCATCCGTCGAGCGGTGGATCAGGCCCTGGCTCTGGAGGTGGACACCGAGCCCTTGGTTTGGAGCCCAGAGGCCCCAAGATCCGACAAGAGCCCTTGTTTTCCCCAACTCTGTTGAGGTGAGGCTTCTGGCACCAGCCTGTGCCGCCGTGGAAGGCGAGGAGGGCGACAAGGAGGAGAAGCTGCTGCCGGCTGTGCAGGCAGCAGTGGGGTTTTCCATGGGAGCTTTACTTCCATGCGGGATCCAGTCACTCCAGTCCAGTCTCTTCCTTTTTTGGGGTCTTCGTGCGCCCCCCTGTCTTTTGAGGCCTTCCAGCATAAGTCCGCGAAGGCCCGGCGCCTTTAAGCGCCAAGAGGCGCTCGGCTGCAGTCAGCCGGGCTCCCTCTGAGGTCCGATCCCGGGCGGTTCAGAGTGCCGTTGCCAAGCTTGGGGAGGACCAGGAGGAAGGCGCGGAGTGGCTGAGAGGGAGGGAGGGGGGGAGGGCGCTTTGGCTTCTATAGGGCCCCTGACATATAGGGGCCCCCCCTTGGCCTTTTTGTGTGGGCTTAACTGGGTCCCCCCACGTGGCAGGCACGCAGGTCACACAAGAGCGGCGGCGCCTCATGGCCAGCCCAGAACCCAGCGGCTCGACAGCGGAGAGCCTTTGCGTTGTGGGGGTCCCTTAAACGCCACCTGCCCATCTTCCGCCAGGCTTGGCTCTGCAATCTCTGGATGACGAGAGCGTGGAGGCGCGCGCACACACAGAGACCGCGCGCTCTGCGCGCGGATGCCTTGGGTTGGGAACACTTTTGGGCTTGGGGCAGGTGGTGGCCGTGGCGCTGAAGCAAGAGACCTTGTGGACCTCCTCCGAGGTTGCATCAGTGATGTCACGCACCCGTGGGCGCGTGTGGCGGCTGTTCCTCTGCAGCGCAGGTGGCTCCAAGCACGGCCGCTGACGTGCTGAGCGCAGCCTTGCGCAGGAGTGAAGAGAGAAGAGAAGTAAGAGTAAGAGAGCTACTTTAAGAACTATAAGATCTCTGTGTCTGAGAGAGAAGCCCTTGCCTTCAATAAAGCCCCGTCGGTGAGCCTCAGGCTGCTCCGCCATGGTCCCAAGGGGAAGCCGAAGACTCTCCAAGAGCTCTTCCGGTCCTTGCTGCAAGAGGCCACAAAAAGGGCCAACGGGGGCGCGCGGGGTCCCCTCGCGCGACGCGATCCGCTGTGTCTTCGCCAGGACCCGCGCGTGCGGGCCCTCTTCCCGCTGATGATCCAAGCGTCCGCCTGGGTCTATGGCCGCGAGGACGCAGCAGAGGAGCGGAGGAGGCCCGGGCCGGCTGGAGCTAGGCCTAGACTCGGTGGAACGCTTCAACTGCTGCACAGAATTATGGGCTCTCTCTTCTGCAGGCTGGATGCCCTGCTCTTTCCTCCTCTCCTTCTAGCCTTCGCCGGCCTGGATGCTGCAGAGGCGTGAGAGGGGGGCAAGCGGAAGAATTCTTGAGCCTGAGCGCCTCCGACCTTCGCCTCAGGAGGTCGCTGGACCGCTCCTTCGATTGGAAGAGGCAGCTGCCGAGTTCTGCAAGGCCAGGGGTGGCCGCGCTGTTCGGGGCTTCCTTGCAAACACACGTGCGCACCTGCCTGCCTGCCTGCCTGCCTGCCTGCCTGCCTGCCTGCCTGCCTGCCTGCCTGCCTGCCTGCCCATTTCAACACAAAGAGATACACGTTAGTAAGTATGAAGAGAAACAAAGATGCGCATTTGAACATGCATCAAAAGGCACACACACACACAGATGCACGCACACACGCACACGCACGCGCGCGCACGCGCGCACACACACACACACACGCACACACACACACACACGTATATATAAATATGGATATAAATATAAATATAAATATTGGTACATAAATAAATATGTAAATATAAATATAAATATAAATATAAATATAAATATAAATATAAATATAAATAAATAAATCAATATATATATATATAAGAGTAAGTAAGTAAGCAAGTAAGTAAGTAAGTAAAGCAAAGTAAAGTACAGTACAGTACAGTAAAGTAAAGTAAGGTAAGTAAGCAAGATTAAATAAGTGAGTAAGTGAGCCAGGCACTCACTCACTCACTAACTAACTAACTGACTGACTGACTGACTGACTGACTGACTGACTGACTGACTGACTAACCAACTACCTGACTCACTGACTAACTCACCAGCTCATGTATATACATGTAGATTGTAGATGAAAAACCATAAGTCGGTGTGTGTATATATATATACACACACACATACATACCCCGAATACATACATACATGTGTGCTCATGAAAATGTACCTGCACGTTTACGCATGCATGCATGTAATATCTAAAGCCCTGAAGTTCCTGAAGGTGTCCGAGGAGCCGCTGCTGCAGGGCGACAGGGCAGCAGAGGCCGACGAAGGCTGTGGCCCGCGGATCAGCGCAGTGGCTCAGGACCGTTTAGGGAGGGAGGAGGGGCAAAGGGCGGAGGGGGGCTTCGATTTTCGGCTTCTCCCTTTTGTTCGTTGCTGCTTTCAACTTATCGGCGCCTTCGGAGGAGGAATGCCTAGTCAATGCAGGAGACAGGAACAGAGAAAGAACGGAAGCCACTAACACGCTTGTGTCAGAGCTTGACATGCAATCGTCGTTCTCCCCATCATTGCTACGTCGCACTTCTCCTGCTTGTGTCCTTCTCATGATCCCGTGAACACTCAAGCCTAAACCCATCACCAGGCTGTCATCAATCATCAGTCTTACCGTTGTCTCATACAGTCTCGATGTTCACTTTTCTCAACTTCCCACAGTTGCATGATGTCCATGACCTGCTACTCATCGAATGGCCATGGCAGACTCCTCCTTTGTTTCCCCTGGTCATCGGCCGTGGAGGGCAGGGACCTGTGAGAAACTTGAGACGACTAAAGCTAGTCAGAAGCCAAGAACCGGAGAAGTTGGAGACCAGGGGTTAAGTATTGGGTGTATAGTATTCTACGATTAATGAATGAACCCTACCCCGAACCCCAACAGAGCGCAGTCCAGGCCGCAGATGAGGAAGCCTGCGAGCGCCTAGCTGACTTGGCTGGTGCGCAAGCCGAGGCGGCAAGGAGGGAGAGTCTGCCAAGCGGCTACGACGGTGAATAAGTGTTCCAAGCGTCTATGTGTGTCCGCTCGTCTCACTATCCGCTTCCCTCCCTCCCTCCCTCCCTCCAGCCGAGGTCTTGTTGCATGTATGTACGGCTATATAATGGATCATGTGCATGCCATGTTTTCAGAATTTCTCTTGCCCCCAAAACGCTGGCGAGGTGCAGCTCGCAGGCTGGGCGGAGAGAAGTGGAGAGAAGCGGCTTCGATCCCCTTTTGATGCTGTTTGCAAGCATGTCCTCCTTTCGAGCGCCTCGAAGTCTCCTTGGAAGGCCTCGGCAGCCAGGTGGCGGCGGCTTCGGCGCTGGCCGCGGCCCTGCAGCGCCAGAAGGCCCCCGTCGTGGTTCCGCGCCCCCAGGCCCACAGGCCCACAGGCTCTGTGCTTTTGGCTCTTGGAGGCACAGAAGCTGGTGCTTCGCAGCGCGGCGGCCTGCCAAAGGCGGCTCTCTTCTTCTTGTTCTGCAGATAACTTCTCTGCCTGTCTCAGCCGGGCCGGAGGCTTGCGAAGCATCTCGTGGCGAGCTCCCTGACCTCCGACTTGCTCAAGCCACTCTGGAAGGCTTCCCGCAGAGCCGCGAGTCGCCGCTCAAAAACCAATACAAGTACCCCAAGAAGCGGTTTTCCGGCTCCGAGCCGGAAACAGGCCTGCCTGGAAGCCGCCGCCTCGCCCGTGGGCTCCTCCTCGCGGCGGAAGAGTGGCAAGAGCTCCCTGAATGGCGCAGGCCCCCAGCTCGCCCTTTTGGGCCCCCCCTTTGAGGGTCCTGCAGAGACGGTCGCAGTGCACTGCCCAAGTTCGCGGAGGCTCCGCAGAGGCGGCGACGCTGCTCTTGGAGGTGGCTCTGATGCGCCCCAAGGCCTTCGCAGCACCTCGGCCCGGCCTCTAATTGGGGAGCGGAACAAGCTTTATAGGGCTGCGTTCTTCTCTGCTGTTTTTTTATTTGGAACCCGGGCCCTTGCCCTTGCGAAGCTCAGGGCGATCTGCATGCAAGCCTCACCTGCGGCGCGGCGGCGCTGAGACCCGTGCCTCGGCTAAGCACGCGAAGGCCGGTGCTTCCGGAGCCAGAGACAGAGCACTCTTCCACTGTCGTTGTCTGGGCGGTTTGATCCATGTTCGTCCATTTCTTTTGCTTTTTTGACAGCAAGGACTGTCAACCATGACTTTGTTTTTTTTCAGCAGGCGTCGGGTTTCGTCTCTCTGAATTCTGTGCCCAAGTCCAGCCTGTTGGGCAAAGAGGCACTCTTCGACTACCAGTCCGGGCTTGCAACGGGTGATTACAGGCCTTAACCCCGAAGCTTAGGAACCCCTCGCCGGTCTTGAGCGGCGCCGAAATAGACTGTAGAAGTATTGGGATTCCAGAGTGTTGGGGGGTGGTGCCAGAAGCCCAAACACGGCAAGCATTGGGCTAAACGACAGCAACGCCCTGACAGCAACGCCCTCCCCCAAACCTGATCCGCCAGATCGGCGGTTTCCTAGCCAAGGCTTTGCTGCAGCTGTCGCTCGGCTCTCACGGAGGCGAAGTGCACGGGGCCGAATTATAACATATTATAACTTAGAACCTCTGCGATAGTGTTCAGAATGTGCGAGGACCTCCGACAAAAAGGTATACCTTCGTAACGGATTCAGTGCAGGGGTTGTGATCGGCATGTAAGACGCAGGCCCGCCCGGCATCCGAGCCAACGCGCTGCTGCTCCTTCGGAGCCTCCTCGTGAACGGCTGGGCTGCCGTGCTGCTCTCGGTCGTTCCCAGTTGCCAGTTGCGCAAATCTCTAAGAGATTCCGCCCCAGGATCAAATGATGCTGGTTCTCATCCTTTCCCGCCTCTCGTCCACGGAGGCCTGACGTTGCCACTGTCCCTGGTTTTTATAATGAGACGGCGGGCGCACGCAGGAGAAGCAAGTTCGAGCTGCATCGGTGGCCGTCCTCGAGAGCCTTCAGGCAGCTTCCAGTCTAAATCTAGATTCGTTTTGCTGTCACTGCCTTTGCAACTTGTGTTGTTGGGGGGTTTCGTTGGTAGAAAGTGTGGCAAAAGGGCATCTCCTGTACCGCAGGCGGCCTCGCTGCAGGATGACTCAGTGGACACCTTGGTGGAGGCCGTCTCCATCTAGGACACACCGCACCAGAGCAAAGTTAAAGCTAATGTCACTAGTTAACCAGAATGTTTGACAGAATAAGTTCTCGACATCAAGCCCTCTTGTGCAGTTCTTTTGCCAATTCTGCCTACAGGCTAAGCTCCTGCTGCCCACGGCATCCGTTGCACCAGAAAAGGCGATCGGCACATCATAGCAGGGACTTGCGTTTGCGTGATGCCAAAGCCTTGAATCACATGAAAAGAATTGCAGCTTGCTTTTGGTGGCCGCTGTGCAGCCTTGGCAGCTCAAATGTCCTGAGAGAGGTCCTCTAAAGGAGAGCTGTGAGTGATGCAAAAGAGGGGCCCAGGCTCGTGGCTGCCGCTCAGCTTCTTTTTCTGGGCGGCGGTCTTTGGCGCCTTCATCACTAACAGGGTTCTTCGCATTCTCAATGTGCCAATCACGGACACCTCCTTACGGTCCTTTGCAGCTCCCCTGCTGCGCGCCTGCGCCACGGATGCTGTCTGTGCCGACCTGCAGCCAAACACCGTGAATCCCTTGCCTCCCACATTTTGGAATGCAAGAGGCTTCGATCTGCAGTACCAGCTGCAGTCCTCCTGGAAGACCATGGCCCATGAGAGCCAAAGCTTGAAATGTGAGCTCAAGGAGTTTTGGCAAGACACAGACTATGGCACGCACATAGAAGAGGAGGGTGTGTGCAATCTGACATGCGCGCAATATGAGGGCCCTGACCGAGCAAAACTCTACGTTGAGATTGCCCTTGAAACAGCCGGTGTTGTGCCAGCCATCGTGATACAAGGCATTTTGCCGCGTTCCTTACGGCTATTCCTGGAGGTGTTTGTTGCCTTCTGGCTCATGTACTTCACACAACAGTTTCGACATTCTCATCGGCACGTGCCAGCTGCTTTAGAGCCAGCACCAGCAGTCAGTGAGGGTGAGTCCTTCGCATGATGCGCACGATGGCTGCAGGCCGTGTGTATGTTGTACAGTTCGATTGACTGCACCGCAGAATTCCGATGATGCGCTGCTTTAGCTGTCATTCGGATGCCGGCGCAGGGCCTTATGTAAAGTCGCGGATGCTATGCAGGAACTCAGTGCTTTCAGTGTGCTTCTGACCCACAGTTCCTGTGTCCGCGCTACAGCTCTGCAACCTCGAGCCTATGGGGCCTGCGCCCATTGTGCCTATGTACAGCAATCTCCTTAGACTTGCTTTGAGGCGCTGCCAAGGATGAAGGCGATGCTGTCCTGTGGCAAGGAAAGAGCAGCCGTCAACAGGGGGGCTGTATTAAGAAGTGTTCAGGGCGAAGGCTCCTTCGCGAGCACATCAGACGCTTCTGGGATGTTCTGCACAGAAGTTTTTGCCCATGCACAGGTGTGCTCCTCCATGGGGCAGCTGCCCCAAGAGCTCTGGTCGAGCTTGCTGGAGCTGCTCCTGCAGCAGAAGGCAGAGCTTCTGCAGGACCTTCCGAAAGGCCGCAGACGTGCGGGCCTGCCTGCGCAGAGTCTCTTTCGACAGAGTCTGCAGGACCCTGTCGCGGCCCACAACGTTCTGCAGAAGGTCCTCGGCCTCAAGGGCGGGCTCCCAAAGGCCTCCCGGGAGCAGGCCCCGACAGGGGGCAGCATGTAGAGACCGAGTCATGCTTCGAGTACTCCAAGGGTACAGATTCATGAGGGTCTGCGTTTTGAAGAGCTCTATGTTTTTTTTGTTTTTTATGGCTGTCAGAACATGGACTCGGGTAGATGCAGCGTGGCCTCTCATGCAGACTTTTGCTCACTTTCGTTGTCTCCCAGGGCCGCGCTTAGTCCCGCTTAGTAGGGCTTGGAGAATCGGGGTCTTGGAGAGGCTAGGACATTTTCAGGTGGGTAGTTACCGTTGTAGGAGCCTTATATATAGGAGGTCTATATATATATATACATACGTTCTAGAAGCCAGACAGAAGCCCTATATTAACTTCACCGATATATCACTACTAATTCCCCATTATCAATACAATTCTAGG